TTCAGCCGCTGCCTGACACAGCTGCATAGAGTTCGCGTCCTCAGTGGGTCCTCAGTGGCATTTTCTATTATATTACCTCAGATGGTAATCGGTTAAAATATTCTGTAAATTGTTAAGTGTATGAATTGAAAGTGGGTGGCTGAAACATGACTTTTTGGTTTAAAAGGTCATGTTCCAGCCATACACTTTCGAGTCATGCGCTACATAATTTTCAGAATTGCTAAATCTGCCTCCTTTATATTATTGTACATGCCTGATGATGAAATAATCGAAAACGTTCGTTCGCCTATCTTTACTTCCTGAGTGCTTAAATGACTATCATCGCTGAACTTAAACTTTCCAGAATTATTGACCCGATATATCCGTATTTATATATGTGTATGTCCAATGAACAAATGTCCCGATTTCGAATTTCAGGGGTTCGGACCCTAAAATTGGGTACGCCTGGTTGAGGAGGGCCAAAAAGCCAGAAATCGCCATCTCGATGTCCCTTCTCTTTGACGGATCCACTTCCTCATACGTCTAAGGTCGCCCAGCGACGGCCTGATATTATTTTAGTACTAGCCTTAAGACAATTTCGGGACAACTATATGTCCCAATCAGCTAAATCGAATGAACACCCCATGCTGCATGTGTATGTATGTATGTTTTTATGAAAAGAAAGAAATTGTGACAGTTGGATATTTAGACTCTTATTTAAAAAAACGGATCATGTTATGCGGTCCATATTATTAACGCCCATCCTTGAAGTAAATAGTAATTTCTTGTTTCTAAATTATTCCCCTATTCTGAAACAAAGGGCGTCGAAAATGACACAACCTATCCTCAACGTTGGAATGGAAACGGTTCGCCGCCTGAAACCAATGGATACATTCCCAGGAATCCGACGGGCATACCAGCACCACCCCTACCGCCTAAATGCCCGCCAGCATCACAAGAACGACCGGCACCCACATTCCCAGCCTGCGTGTCGCCAGGACCGCCATTCTCACCAACCGGATCGCATTCCGCAATGGGGATTTCCTCATCACGACAAGGCCAATGGGGAGGTTTCGTGGATGGCAGAAATAATTCCGAATGGAGCGCGCCAAACATGGTTTGTAACGTTACGCTTTTTATGCAAAGATTATCTGTCAGAATTGAAAATGGTTCTGACTAAACACGATTTATATTTCCCAACGCTGGACCCCAACCAGATCTGTTAATACTGTTTGGGATGTAAGACGATTTTTAAAATAGGCGTTGAAAAAGGTTTGTTGTGTTTATTTCTTTTTCTATCCTTTGCTTTTAACACTGAAACACGTGACCAACACGAACATCTGCTGTGTTGATAGAAACCCAGGGTTCCTTCCCACTACGCCGAGTTGGCACAGTAATCTGGTAACTTTATTGTGTAGTATTTTGCCACGTGAACCAGATGAGCACGCTTCCAGTTGCATATTAATATGAATTATTTTTAATAGGAATAGCTAATTAGATTGGCTGATATGTTCTGTATATTTAATTACGATGAGTCACTGCAAATTCGCAGAATAAGAACAGTTAAGTGTTTTAAGATACATGTTTGACTCTATGTGTCTTTCAATTGTGATAGGAAAATGGTTTTCTTCACAGTTAATTAATTATCCTACCAATTGCAATTTATTCAAGCACTCAATAAGATGCACATTGAAAGCCAGCCATGGGGCTGCAACTGAGATGCCTTAGTTTTATTATCGTAGAAGGTAGGCCCTTTGGCAACGAGCTTATTGTTTCGTCCACTATATCGTTAGGGCAGTTGAGAGAGGCAGTTTAAAAATTACGAATCAGGGGCGTGCAAACGCGAAGAAAACAGGAACACCTATATGGTTGGTTCGAAAAGCGGCAGTCCAAGTTAACCCAGAGTCTGCAGCTTAGAAACATGGGGAAA